TAATTAGGTCCTACAACATGATTTGTAGAAAGAAACTGTAGGATATGTTTATTGAATACATGTGTACATGGAAAAACCTTGTTTTATCAGAACCCTAAACCTGTAGTTGATCTGGAGTCAGTCAAGACACCCTTGTATAGCATAGTTCAGTTTGCTCTTGCAAGGAAAATCTGTTCTTATGTACATATACAAGAAGATATATTATGTAAAAGAAAACCTTAAAAATGTTAACCGACACTGGTAAACTAACTAACATTATGATTATCACACTAACATGCATATTTAGACATTGCATGTTGTTGCATGTTGAAAAACATTTAATATTTTTACAAATAAAGCATAGTAGCAATTTCTAAGTGATCTGTTATTGGAACATATATATTTTCACTGTCAGAAAGAAAGTCTACCTAACTTCTCTTTATATTACAATGTTATGTTCAGCTTTTCTCTACTAAATATTTGTGTTTTTGGTTTATACCAAAATGAAGGGTGTGGGCCACTGCAGTTAGTGTAGTTAGTTCCCAGTGGAACCACTGTACAACCAGCTAATGCAAGTGTTTGATAATGAGATACTGTGTTAAGAACAATGTTTGCACTGTAGAACAGCATTTTAACATTACAGCAATTTTAAAACAGTGATTTAAAATGGTAGCACACTGAGATGTGCTAAGTCCTGTTTTAATAAATTATTGCTTTCAGTACATCATGCTCATCACACAAACCATTCCTGGACTGAGCACCTGTTTCTTTCTTATTTGCTTACTTGGAATACATTTTTTTTTTTATTTGAATGTTTTATATTTGGATCCTTTTGTAAAATTATAAACATTGCAGATCTAAAAATAGAATGAGGTAAATATATCAAACCAGGAGCAGATATAATCTGGAGCAGTTGCCCATGGCAACCAATCAGCTTCTCTCTTACATTTCAAGTCTTAACTGAAGAGACAAGCTGATTGGTTACTGTGGGCAATTGCTCCATATTCTGTCTTCTCCACTTTTGATACATCCCTCCACCAATGTATATACTTTATATGTATGAATGATACTATTGCTATGCTGCATGGATCAATCTACACACATATTTCTAATCTGAGTGATCATTATCATCATCATCATTGTATTTATTTTCAGCCCTGAGTCATACCAGGGAAGGATCCCACATACTCAAACTTAGCAGGCCAGCCCATACATTCACCTTGCAATAAAGTCAAACAGGTCAGTTTGATTAATCAGGGTGAAGAGAAATGACAGTGCAGTAACTCATTGCAACCAATCACAGTTCAACTTAGTGTAATCAGCTTAGTAAGGTAAATTCTGATTGGATGATATGGCTTTTTGCACTTTGCTTATATTTATTGTTCTTAACACTATTTTACTGATTAAGTTTAGAGGTGTGGTAAATGATTTCAAGGTGTTTTACCTAATTAAATGGCAGCCTGGGTTTGCGTATTTAATAGAAAATACAATTTTTTACTATAGAACAGCACCAAGACAGGAAAAAGGTCCTTCAGTTCAACTTAGTGTAATCAGCTTAGTAAGGTAAATTCTGATTGGATGATATGGCTTTTTGCACTTTGCTTATATTTATTGTTCTTAACACTATTTTACTGATTAAGTTTAGAGGTGTGGTAAATGATTTCAAGGTGTTTTACCTAATTAAATGGCAGCCTGGGTTTGCGTATTTAATAGAAAATACAATTTTTTACTATAGAACAGCACCAAGACAGGAAAAAGGTCCTTCTCGGCCAGATTGCTTCTCTCTACCAGCCAGTTCAGCACCACATCTTCTAAATGGGCTCATGGAGGTACATCCCACAAAATGTCAAGATGCACTGTTTATTTCCGTGGCTGAAGCTCCTCAGAAACTCTCTAGCTCTATGCTCCTGGTTTTGTATCAACCAGATCTACCCCCAGAAACAATTCCAACAGTGATAATCTGAGGTGACACATCTACATAAGTCACAATATTAACCTCTCTGTAACCAACTACTGGAACTTATTAACAAGTGTTGGTAGAAGCAATCAACACTATGGCTAGGGACACCGAGATACTTCAAATAGATATTGGGACAGTTTAGGCTGGTCAGAGTCAAAGCTGACCCCCAAAACTCAAAGGCAAACCATATGAGCATATTTTCTAGTAAATTCCATTAGACTTTTGAGTGCCAGAAAACAATATTAGCTTTTCCTGTAATGTTTTCAATGCTTCCTTGCTTTTCTATGACCTTTTATTAATATCTGGGTTAGTTAGACTCTATATACATATATGTGAAGTGCAGGTGCTATGGCCACATTCTTAATGCTTGCCAAGTGTTTCTATGATCCTTGTCAGTGGCATATTAAATACACACATTGACAGGAAGTGAAGCCACAGATGCTGCAGGCACTGTTTTTACACCTAAAAGAATGGTGCCTGCAGCATCTGTGGCTTCCATTCCTGTCAATACCTCCCTCATCTATTCCCTGAGATTGCATTATAGAGTAAGGCATACAGGATATGTGTACAGTGATGTGTGAATAGCTTTTTAAAGTTTAAAAGGTGCCATTGACCCTTACAGTGACCCTGCCTCTATAAAGAAGATACTCAGCTAGAGGTGTAGATAAGAAGGGGAATAGGGGGGTTCAACCCCCCAGAGTTTCCTGGTCCCATAATTACATAAAGCACAGCTAAGTTACCCAGGCCAGCAGAGTGGATAATAATGATATGTAATGACTGCATGGATGCAAACAATCTGTGTCCAGGTGTGAATTCCCCCCCACAGTGCAATGGTGGGAAATGGCAGGTGCTGCCTCAATCAGCTTTGGTTCCAATCCAAGAGGGAAATACTTGTCTGTGTGTGCTGCGGAGCGTAATGTGAGCTCAGTGAAATGGCGGGAAATGGCAGGTGGTGCCTCGATCAGCTTCAGTCCCAATTCAAGGTACTAGTAATTCCCAAACAATAATGATAGCAACAGCGAGGAGATGGCTGACTGACTGTGTGTGTGTGCACTGTGCATCTACAGCTATCTATATCTTACAACAAGGTGGACTCATTAAATTGAGTGCTTACTGCCTGATACACTGTGACAAGAGGGCAGAGGTTTTAGTTTTTGTTTTGGGTGGACACATTTGTACCCTGTTGTGCTTCAGAACTATACAATCAGTCACCATTGCTTCACTTTACTTAGCATCATTGTTCTTGAATACACCTGCAAGATATTGGTTAATACATGAAGGGCTTATGTAAGTAGATGAATTTATGTTTTTGTCATATCATGAAGCACACATAAAATGCAGGTCACCAGATGCCCATTTACTTTAATGGTGCGGTGTGGATGACAGTCCTGAGACTGTATATGACCTGTTTTGTGTTGCTTTCTTTGGACCTAGCAGGTTCTATTGGGATGTGTTGCATTGCAAGCTAAGCAGATCAAATCCAGCCTTTCATGGAGTTTTGCATTGGAACACTTGCATTTGAGCAGTGCTGCATTTAAATGCAAAAGGCAGTGATTGACAACAATACCCTTGATCCCTACAAGTAGTTATCAAGCAAAAATGTCCAGCATTATTGTCACATGTCCAGTGATTGTGAGAGGCACATCTACACTACATCCTACAGGATTACATACATTACCGCTGTATACGCAATAAAGAGCTAGTAAACGTACCTTTGTACAGAAGCTGAGATTGATTGTATTTGATACATTTTTCTATGTTATCAACCAGGCTTGCCTGCAGTAACTGTTATTGTTTTGGATCAGCAGACATTAAAGGACATTTTCACTCACCTCATAGTTCTAGCCGACCTGTGACAATGAGACTGTCACAGGTCGGCTCAGTAGATCGGGAAGTGAGCGAACACATACCGGCGCTCGCTCACTTCTCGATCCTGTCACGGCTCTCTGCCGTGACAGGGGAGTGGCTGGATTCCCCCCTCTCTGCTCCGATCCTCCAGAGCTGATTGGCGGAACGGATGGAGGAGGGGGCGGGTACAGATTGCTCTGCCTCTAGATAGGCAGAGCCAGCTATCACTCACGCAGCTGGGCGGATCCATACATAATTGTCGGGATCCGCTTCAGCTGCGGCGTCTCAGTATACCGCAAGCTGTAGCTCGCGGTATACTGAGCTTAGGGTGACGGGGGAACGCTAGTTTGTATCCTCCCGTTATCCTAAGGAGAACTATGGGGAAAAGCCTTAACCCCATAGTTCTCCTTTAACCACTTCAGCCCCACTGCCCCCCCCCTTCCTGACCAGTCCATTGTTTGCTATTCAGCACTGTGCTACGTCAACTGACAATTACTCGCTCATGCAACACTGTACCCAAATGAAATTTATATTTTTTTTTACGCAAATGAACCAACAAAAAACTGAAAAAAATTATATTTTCTACTTTCTGTTAAATATCAAAATCAAATTTCTTTATAAAGTTAGACCAAAATGTATTCTTCTATTTTCTTTTATTTTACATAGACTTTTACTTGGCGCCTGCTTCATGTTTTTACAATGTATGTTTTGAAAATACTCAGAGAAAATGTGCAGTGGGTAGGTACTCAGCTAAGGTATACCTGGAAACATTTTTTTTAATACTCACCTTCCCTTCTTCCCACACCAGATAGGCTTAAAGGAGAACTATGGGGTTAAGGCTTTTCCCCATAGTTCTCCTTAGGGTAACGGAAGGACACAAACTAGCCTCCTCCCGTCACCCTAGGCTCAGTATACTGAGACTGAGACGCCACAGTATATAGCGAGCTGCTGCTCGCGGTATACTGAGACGCCACAGCTGAAGCGGATCCCGACAATTATGCCGGGATCCGCCCAGCTGCGTGACTGACAGCTGGCTCTGCCTATCTAGAGGCAGAGCCACCTGTACCCGCCCCCTCCCCCGTCCATTCCGCCAGTCAGCGCTGGCGGATCGGAGAGGGGGGAATCCAGCCCCTCCCCTGTCACGGCAGAGAGCCGTGACAGGATCGAGAGGGGAGCAAACGCCGGTATGTGCTCGCTCACCTCCCGATCTACTGAGCCGACCTGTGACAGTCTCATTGTCACAGGTCGGCTAGAACTATGAGGTGAGTGAAAAGCACTCACCTCATAGCTCTCCTTTAACTCTCAACTCGCACAGAAGTGGAAGCCCCATGTACAGCCTAGACCGAAGACCCAATCTGTTCCACAGGCAAACAAAGATCAGTCTGAAAACTAAAATGGGTATTTGCAGGCATCCTAAGTTCCCTGCACTCCACCATCTTAGAAACATTTCAGACAATACATGTTCATGTTTAAAATTGTGCAGTGGGAAGTCACTGCATACATGTTTGTTTTAGGACATACATGCAGATAATGTATCTTGCTTGTACATCATAACTAAATCCATTCAGAGGTATCATCTCATCTTTTTGCACAAGGTGATCTCATAATTTGGGAACTATCAAAATGAATTCCATGTTGGTGATATGTGACATTTCTATGTCAGTGGATGTCTACGAGTCATTGCTCAATGTAACCTTCACATCTTAAACATTTCTTGTCAAGAAATAACTTGTTGGCTTTAACTGAAGAGCAGCCTATAAGCTGTCTTTGACTTTGCTTAAATGCGCTGTGCTTGAAAGATAAGCATCAATGTATTTTCCCCTTTGGCTGCCATACGTCAGATGTTGTTTGTACCATGGCTTGCTCAAAGTGGACATATTTTGATTGCAATGTCTGTTCCAATTCTACCTGTTTTTTTGTTTTTGAAAGTTTGCCCAGAATAGGTAAGGTTTATATGAATTCCTGTTGTGCACACCAAATGGATATATATATATATATATATATATACTATATATGAACCCGGTCTCCATTAAAAGCATACCAGGGAAGAGTAAATGGATTTAAAACCTGCTAGTTTTATGATGTACCTGCAAATCTAACAGTCAGTATTAAAGGTGTGTCAGGTTTGCCACTCCTCATGCAAATATTAATGCACATATTCAAATTAAATTATAGTAGGCCTATGCGTGTTAGGTTTGCCAATCCTCTAGCAAATTATCAGAGTGGTTATTGGTGCACACATATTTATCTCCAATCATTTTTATTTAATATTGCCAGTTACTGGCAGGTTGTCAGGTTGTTAAGGTTGTCAGCAACACAATCATTTTCATAAATAAAAACGTGGCCATATGTAGTGAGGACACAATCTCAGCAAATAAACACTATTATTCACTAAAGGGTGAAGAGTTTGGGAAAGGCAGGAGAAGTGAACAATCTAGGACGACATGAACTAGAAAGTTAGCTGAATAGGAGAATTTTTCCAAATCAGCTATGTTGTTCTAGATTGGTCACTTCTGCCTTCTCCAAACTCTTCACCCTTTTGTGAATAACCCTGCTAGACATTTGGAATGTTTTCTGCAATTTTAGTTAATTGTCTGCAGAGACATGCACAAATGTAGCATTAATAATGAAATTGCAGTTACTTGCTGCCATTTTAGCTAATGATTATTTTGGGGCAAATCATGGGACCACTGTCAGGTTTTTATTGCCAGCTGTGTTTTTGTTTGGGGACTTACCGTATTTTGCGCTCCATAAGGCGCACCAGACCATAGGACGCAGGGAGGTCCGGTGCGCCTTATGGAGCACTGAACAGACCACAGCTTCTGTGACAGAAGCTGTGACAGAAGCTGCATCACGGTCTCAGTGATCACACAGAGCAGACGAAGAACGTCCGTTTTTCGTCTGCTCTATCTAGGGGCTCTATGGTGATCTCGATCGCCGCAGCTGCTCGGTTTTAATACAAGTGATCTAATTAGATCACTCGTATTAAACAAACAGTGGTGGCTACTGTACATTTAGCTCTGCTTTAGCAGGGCTAAATGTAGAAAAAACTACGCCCGGCGCCCGAAAATGCATGTCTCGGGTGTCGGGCGATAGTGATTCGCTCCATAAGACGCACACACATTTTCCCCCGCCTTTTGGGGGGGGGGAAAGTGCGTCTTATGGAGCGAAAAATACGGTACCCCTCAAGTGATGTGATTGATGGAAAATCTCTTTCTTGGTAATGAAATAGTAAAAAGTAAGGAAGGGTAAGAATCTTTGACAGGCTTTTATTACTGGTGGTGTTCCCATAAAGAAATATACTCTCTTACGCCATGTGGTGGCAGTTGCTACATAGGTTTTACACCTATACTTTACGAAGTATCAATGCACTTAACATAAAAAATATATATCTGCTAGGTCCACTTTAAATATATAGTCTAGTCATTTTTATACATGCTGCAAACTTTTTAGTTGCAAATATTTGTGATCATTGGTATGTACCATAAAAGCAGGTGTGTTACTACAAATGATAGGGCCACATATCAATGCTGTGTTTTCCCCTACCCTACTGGCACCCCAGTGTGCAGGGTGATGAGCAACTGGTGCACATAGTGAAGTGAGGGTGTGTTATTAAGTATGCTTAGCATGTGTGGCATGACTTCAATGGTCAGGTATTGACAATTTGAAGAGAGGCCTTTTTGTGAGTATAACTCAGCTGTATGTACACTTTTCATTGATGGAATACCCTACCATATTCCAAGCCTAACCTATTGAGTTTACATTTATGTACTAACTGGAACTATAGCCAAAACCATTATTTTGGGGACTGAGGAGAAATCCTCCCAATAAGGACTCACATAATGATGAAATCAATGATCAGAAACTATGGAATAGTTTGGCTAATTTTTACTTCAAGTGGTTGTGCATGCAAACTTAATATTGTATAGATGCAATGCTTATAGAAATGTATTACCTCTCA